GAGGAGGAGGAGGAGGAGGTCCAGTCTTGTTTTTCACAAACCTGAGCTGAGTCGTTAACAGTAATCAGATCTACTTGGGAAAGTGAATGAGTTGAATCCCCTCTGGGTGTTTGTATGTGTGGGGGGAGTGTGAGTGGGGGCAACAACAATGTAGAGCAGGGGTTCTCCTCTTCTTCTGATCACCCTCCTGTTGACCTGATTTTCTCACCATCGTTGCATGTGCACAAACTGAGCCCTTGTGACCCAAATGCTTTACCTCCATTAACCCCTTTTACCCAGTTTCTAGTATTAAGGGCTCACCGTCACGGTAGAAGAAGACCAATGGCATGTTGTTGGAGCTTTGATTCACAACAACACATGAGCTATTACAACCAAAAGAGACTTGTGTGATTTAAATACTGATTTGCAAAATACTTGTAGCGGAGCAGATCAGGACAGTTCATGTAAGGACAGCAATTTATATTTATATTAAACATATGCTGGTGGTGGTTGGTTCTTTATGCAATATGTCTGACATTTTAAACCAGTTCCCATACTTGTGATGCTAACACAATTGCAGTGTCCATGCGTAACCGGTGCGCCAAGACGGCACTGGCTGTGTTTACATATCAATAATGTATAGTGTAGTCAAGTGCAAGAACTGAGCAGGTCAGCAACCCTTGTGCAGATAGGAGATAAGATTTCCTAGCTGTATGCCTGATTTCCCCAAAACAAAGGGACAACTTCTCAGCTTATACTTGGATTTATATTGTCAGCGGGGACTTTAAAGAGAAGAGAGGGCTAAATGAATACTTTTCTGAATATTCGTTTTGTACCTGAGTGTGAATGATATTAGGCTTTTCGTGGATTTCCAAGACAAACGCAATCAATCTCTGTGGTTGGTGCCACACTTAAGTCAGTTCTCCGTTCCTGTATTTATTTTATACATCATACATAATCATAAACCTGCCACCAAAATACCGAAACGCAAAATCTATGTATTAAAACCAAAATCATAAGCGGATGTTTCACAAGACATGATTCGCAAGCTGAATATCAAGAACCTGGCAGTATGTGATTTAATACTTGCTTTCCGTATAACAGCCATTAAACTACAGGATCCTTACACTGCGGTACAGGCGCATACCGGTGTACTGTCTGTGCTGTCTGTGCTGTCTCTGCTTCTTTTCCAGTCCTCCTGCTGCTGCTGCTGTCTACGTCAGAGGTACTGCGGTGGCGCAGCGTCGGGCTGCAGCAGCATGGAGGTGGGACGGATGCGCAGAGGAAGGATGCGGCACGGGCTGAAGAAAGTTTAAAGATGCGGCACAAAGCATCGGACTCAACGTGGCTGAATTAGAGCTTCAACCGAGACAAAGACTCCGATGCGAGGACTGGTTTCTTTTCTTTTTTGGGTCTGCGTAAACGCGCACAGCGGCCTGTGCGTTACAGTGCTCGGTCTCTGCACCTGCATGATCTGTGAGCCAGGTGAGCCGTGAGTGTAAGCACGAGCAGTGTGGGTGTGGTGTCATTCTCATAGTCTGTATGACCTACTACATATAGGCCAGTGACAAAGTAGTGAGGCAGCTTTTCGTTTACACAAAGCAGCGGAGCGGCAGCGGGACGCGGGCTGTTGTCTGTAGCTCGTCCTGTAATTATCTCCGTCAGTTGTAGATATCCAGGGGATCTCACAGCGGCTGCTCAGGTGAGTCAATATATGGATTCAGTTATACACAATACAGAGCTGATATATCCCCTCTAATATTCTATTAAAAATCTCAATTAACTGGAGGAATAGTGATGAAGTGTATCATTACTGCTCATTATATATTGGTATCTTCGGGACAGGAAGAATAACTTTTGCTGAAGTTATTTTGAAGTATTTATGAAGACATTTTGATTTTTGATGAAGGTGCCACCCTAGTTCTGATTAAAGAGTGCTGCTAATGACAGAAAGCTGCATTAATGCGCTTTATTTGTAACTACATTGCAGTCCTACTATAGTTTTTATATTAAGGAAGTTAATTTGCTTACATCCTGCAGACAGTAGCTGCCCTGTGTTAAAAAAAACCAAGTAGGCTACCTTGTTTTTCATATCCCCCCTATGAAAATATATATATATTCTAGAAAGCCAGGTGAGTGCACCTGCACTTGCAGCGCACCTGTTGGCCCCGCCCCCGACCTGTGTAGCAGGATCTGTTAACGCCTGCGGCTATGTTAACCTTACCTCAGACATAAATTACAAACACCACAACATGCAAAGAAAGCTTCAATTTATGTAAAAAGTTCAAGTGCATGTTTTGGCTTGTGCTTTGTGTTCTGGGGCTGCTCATTACCCTCCTCTTGTAGCATAAACCTATTTGTACGTGTCCCGTGTGTGTAGGAACATGTGTGTGTGTCAAGTGTAGGGATAAGCGTGGCAAGAAAATAACAGAGGACTTTTTTTTAATGTACATGTGTGACCCCTGGGTTTAATTTCATTGGTGTTTTTTCTACCCACACAACTGAATCCTAAAAGACCCTGAGCTCCCATGAGGCCTACTTGATTGCCCCTTCAGGGCTCTGCTATGGGTATGGATGGGCTAGAGGAGTGCTCCTAATTCCCTTCCACACCTCCTTATTAATAAATGCACAGCCACAAGGAATATTGATTTGAGGGTTTTTTTCCATTGTGGTTTCACAGTTGTCCCCATTGATAATGGTTTAGTATTTATGATTGAAAAATATGAATATTGTGTCATTATGACACGATGAGTGTTACATAATAATCCTTTGTACATAGTGGGGTGTTTTCTCGTTGGATTAAACTACCCAATAGTATATAAAGTTGTACAAAGTAGATTTACTTTGATCAACATAAAATGCTGCGTACACAGTAATGCATCAGTAATGATAATCCAATAATATAATCCAATACTGACAGGGCTGGTCTTATTTGTAATATTTGGAGTACAAGGTGTACTGTAGTATTTTTACCTAGAGGTACTGCTTCTGCGTCCTCTGTGTGCTCATAGGAGTTAACTTTTTTCCTTTTTTACAACCCTTTTAAATTCTTGTAATTACCTTCTTCCAATCCTCTGTCTCTCTGTGTTTTTACTCTCATCACATCCTCCCTCACACCACCTCTTCATCACGGCTTGAATCTCACAACACTCCACCTCCATTTCCCTTCCGTCCAGCTTGCAAGATGAACTTCAAGAACTTTACGGAGTACCTGGCCTGGCTGTACTACCAGTACCTGCTCATCACTGGCATCTATGTCCTGGAGCCCTGGGAAAAGTCCATCTTCAACTCCATCCTCTTCTCCGCCATTGCCATGGTGATCTACACCTCATATGTCTTTGTGCCCATCCACGTGCGCCTTGCACTGGAGTTCTTTTCAGGGATCTTTGGTGGCCAGCCTGAGAGCACCATGGCACTCATGAACTAAAAAGATGGAGAGAATATGGGGGGGAAAGAGGCAAAGACTGGGTGGATTAGCATGAGTCCCTAAATCATTTCCTACAACTCAGCTCCTTCTCAGCTCCTGGAGTTCCTCTTTACACCATCCCGAACCACAGAGGTCAGTCACATCAGCTAATCAAGACTATGATATGAAATATGAAGATCTTAATGAAATGATCTGGAAATCAGAGCCTTACTATCTTCTTTACATCTCAAATCCTCTGGCCTTACCCCATGGTATTAGACACACGACTGTACATTACTTTCACACCCTCGCTGTGAAACGTCTTGTGAAATGTTGTTTGTCCTGTTTGTTTTTTCCACCACATGTCCTGTGTGAGTGCATACCACCTCCAGGTTTTGCATGATAGGGTCATATGTGGGTTGTACATTTGCATGCTCATCTCACTACAAAATACAGCTAGACTCTTTTTTTTAATCATGACTTTCATGCGTCTGTCTTCAAAGAGGCAATAAAGTGATTTTAGTCTGTCACTCCCATAAAATGTAAGGACTTCGTAGAGACTATTAAAAAGAGAGCGGTCATAATCAAAGCAGCAGAGGCTGAGTTATCTGGACTTTTAGTCTCAAGTCAAAACCTTAAAAGAATCGATCCTACATTTCCCATAATATAATTCAATAGGGTCTTTTGGTAGACTCTCCCTTGTTAATATCTTGTTAATACAAACATCTTTTAAGCCTCTCTGCCAAAATTGTGTAGCCCATGTTGAAACAGCACTGATGACATTATCTGGGTTATTTCTCAGACTTTGACTGTTTCCAAAATCAGTATTTACTATATAGTGCACTATATTTACACCCTGCTATTTTTTTATAGAGTGCCCTCAAAAGTTACAATAAATAAATGAAAAAGTACTTTCTGCAAATAATCCCATAATGCAAATCATCACATTTTATGGATGTGAAAATTAGAGTTGTGACTCACTCTACAGCTGTCAGTGATGATGCAAAATTATATGTTAATGTCTCTCTAAGCTTACTACAGAGTAAACTATTGAGTGTTTACTATAGGGAGTAGTGAATGAATGAACGAGGCAGTGATTTAAAGCTGCCTTCACAGCCACAGAAGACATTTTACAACTCACAGGCTTGAGTTTGACTCTCTGTGACGAGTAAACTGAACTTTAAAATCAGTGGACTGCTCCTTTATGTATGTGTGTGTCTGTGTTTACCTGCTGCATCTGAGACGCCACATTATCAGTGAGAGTGAATTGCTCTCTGATAAAAGGGGAGTTGGTACTCACCCCAACATTTCTGACATGCAGTTATTGTTATTGGTTGATCTATGGTTTTGTATCAGAACCACTATCACCTTCTTTTGTTGCCTTTATTCACTGTAATGCTAACTGGGAGGGCACATTGCACATTTCAAGTCACTGTGTAGCTTATCTATAAAGAGAGAGTTGATAAAAAAGCCCAAATCAAACTAAAAGTGTCCATTGAGGGACCTGTTACACAGTTGAGTAATGTTTGTCCCAAGGCTACACATTTACCAATTTACTGGTCAAAGTGAATAACAGAACAAAATAACGGCAAAATGTGTGCCGAGCCCTCTCTTTATCTCCTGTTTTATTAACTGGTTGGTATGTCAGGAAGGTGTGCTCAGCACTGAACATGAGCAAATATTGATACAACACACCTTTGTGTTTTAGGCTTGGCTCTGTTAATGACATAGCGTTACTAAATCAGCAGCCTCTGAACCAAAAGCTGAACTGTTTGCTGTCAAAATGTAAAGTCACTGCAGACAAATTGGCCTGAATGAAAAGCAAAGCCTGACTGGCAGACCGAAAACACAGTCTTCCTCACCTATAGTTGATCTATAGAGAATGAGTCGTATAGTGTATCTGGTAGTTGTGATGAGCATTGCATTGAGTTGTGTGCTTAAGATCATCTTTGATTATTTGCGCTTTGGGTCAAGGGCTCGCTGATTACAGTCTAATCATGATCTCTAAGTTAACTTTATTTATATGGAGTTATATATTTATATACTATACACTGGTAAATGCTTGGCTGGTTACAATGTCAGTTACCAAACCTCTTTGATTATTTATATCTGTGTTCTCTTGTGGCCATAAGTAACACATAATTGTCCTTTGTTTCTCCACCTGAAAATGGTTTTATATTGTTCCCAGTTTGGGTCATTTCATTTAAGTTTTGTTAAACATTTCCTGTACCAAGAATGAGCTCTCTGAGAAGCTTTTTTCACTGTTTCACCAAATTTAATGTTATATTTATACATGATAGCAACACATCACTGCACTATTCAGACAATAAAGACGTGAAGATATTTGGACAACTGTTCTCTTTCTCATCCTAGTTTGCTTTTTGATATGAATGTCTGTGTATTCATGCAGCATATCAAGTTATTATGCCCTCAGTAAAGCAGACTTTGAAATGGAAGAACAAGCTAAACAAAGGCTCATGGGAAGCACATACCTGACACAATTGACTGTACCACATAAAGTGAAATCACACAATAAGAGGCAGAGCCACCAAACCAGTTCTCCCCAGACAGTGCAGGAATGAATACCCTACGGCTTTGCTTTCCCCACTGCAGATACTAGGTAGCCTGTCCATGCCAACAAAGCTCTGTTTACCTGAAGTCTACCATGTCCACCCTCTTTGTCAGAACACACACAATTCAAATCAATGTAATGGACCATAAGCAAAAACAGTTTTAGAAGGTTGCTGGTACAGTTGTGTAAAGTTAATTTGCACTTCACTTGCAAATTTCCTGCAATATTATCAACATGGATGTTGGATGAGGGAGCAGGAAATTATTTTGGTTATCAGTATAGCTGTAGTAGAGGGACTGGCCAGGTAACTATGTTTACGCATTGTAACTGGACACCTCCATCTTGTTGTTCATCTTGTTGTTTTTTTCCGTCCAGGAACACAATAGTTGCAAAACCCTCAGTTCTCAACATGCACACCCAAGCTCATCCCAAAATACTAATGAACTCTCCTCTCCTCGCCTCTCGTCTCCTCTCCTCTCCTTTACCTCACTTCCCCTCCTCTCATAAAAAAGCGGCATACTTATGACATCCTACGTAGTAACGTTTTGTCTGCCTCAGGGTCTGTCTTCTGTTTACACTTAACATGATCATTTGTATCCCATGAAGGAAGAGGCCAGAGGTTATCTCCATAATGACAAGGTGTAAACAAAGCTATCTGCAGATTTAAACGCTCTCAAGCAGTGGTGTATTGTTTCTGTTGTGTCTACATGTGACGGTTTCTCACAAATAAAACTTTGGGGGGGGGGGGCTCCTAGCAACTGTT